ACTGTCTCCACACAGCCTCCACACAGCCTCCACACAGTCTCCACACAGCCTCCACACAGCCTCCACACAGCCTCCACACAGTCTCCACACAGTCTCCACACAGCCTCCACACAGTCTCCACACAGTCTCCACACAGCCTCCACACTGTCTCCACACAGCCTCCACACAGCCTCCACACAGCCTCCACACAGCCTCCACACAGTCTCCACACAGCCTCCACACAGCCTCCACACTGTCTCCACACTGTCTCCACACAGCCTCCAAACAGTCTCCACACAGCCTCCACACAGTCTCCACACAGTCTCCACACAGCCTCCACACTGTCTCCACACAGCCTCCACACAGTCTCCACACTGTCTCCACACAGTCTCCACACAGCCTCCACACAGCCTCCACACAGCCTCCACACAGTCTCCACACTGTCTCCACACAGCCTCCACACAGTCTCCACACAGTCTCCACACAGCCTCCACACAGCCTCCACACAGTCTCCACACAGTCTCCACACAGCCTCCACACAGCCTCCACACAGTCTCCACACAGTCTCCACACAGCCTCCACACAGCCTCCACACAGTCTCCACACAGCCTCCACACAGTCTCCACACAGTCTCCACACAGCCTCCACACAGCCTCCACACAGTCTCCACACAGTCTCCACACAGCCTCCACACAGCCTCCACACAGCCTCCACACAGTCTCCACACAGCCTCCACACAGCCTCCACACAGCCTCCACACAGCCTCCACACAGTCTCCACACAGCCTCCACACAGTCTCCACACAGTCTCCACACAGTCTCCACACAGCCTCCACACGGTCTCCACACAGCCTCCACACAGCCTCCACACAGCCTCCTGTAAATTGTGGCATGACATATGTTGCACAGATATATCGAATGTGTGTATTTGTGAACACGTGTGATGTGGCAGGTTTATGTACGAATAAGTGATCACATTGTTTGTTTGGCAAAATTTCTATTCGATGTTTGCTGTATTCTTTGAAGTGTCAAATTATCGCCATAAACAGTAGTTCTTATTGATATGTATCTCATATAGCAAGGTTATCAGACACCACCAGAGCACACGACATCACGGATGTTGCTTCTACATCATCGTGCCCGTACCCGTGTGCAATCATTTATGGCCTTCATTGAATTTCCATCACTGAACTATTTTTCTAATAGTCCTATCTCCCACTGATAAATAATTTACATATACATTGCTCTGTATGAGAAGCAATATGAATATTGGATTGTTTCTATGCCCTGGTGTATACGTGAATCGTTTTGTGCAGATCGACATTAAACTCTCTGCTCCATCTATAACCTCCTTGTAGTATGCTATTTTCTAACTTAAAATATATAAGTGCACTTGTACTCATCGACATGAATGAGATGAATGAGTTGTGTTTTACGCCGCTTGTAGCATTATTCGAGGTATGGTAGGACATCAAGAACGGGATGCATATGGGTACGTTAGTCGTGTCCTAAACAGACACATTTCGAAATACTTTTGAACAGGATTAGCAAACTAACATCGGGCTTATTTTAACGCCTCTCCCGATACAAAATGTTAAAAATGTTAAAAAGGGTGATATACAATGTAGGTATCCGAATACACGAACATCGTCTGAAATAAATCTAGTTTTCCTTTCCGAATAGAGATTATTTTGTACAGTAGTGTACTATCTACCTGTCTTCTCTTTCCGCCCATCAACATACATAACATACAAGATATGTTTCCTCACCCGCCTTCATGTCTCACATAAGTCTGTTAGTGCGCATAAGGTTTTGTCAAAGACACGTTGTTTGTAAACGGCCTTATTATATCCACACCACTAATCAAGAGCGACACAGATTTCATGCCCAAAGCTAATAGTTGCAAAACAACATCACATCAACAGATTAAGAACAAGAAAATCTACAGCTAATTGATAATGATGTAAGACTTCATTACGACCTTCTGTTGTGAATATATCTATGACAGCAGTGTTCTCACTGCCAGCGCCGACAAATGACTCGTAACACACACGTCAGTGACGTTTGATATAAAGCATCGACAACTTAATTAAATCATGCCTTCTCTCCACGACAGCGACTATCAATCATTTCATGTTTTTCTTTTCCGTAATTACATGACAATCAAACTCCAACTTCCATCTCAAGGTTTCTGTTGGATGGCATGTGAGAAATGAGGACGGAAAGACGTTAAGCAATGACGTTAAGCTTTGTCCTGAGACATGCGTTATACGCAGTTGCGGGCGGGTTTTACGCTACTTCCCTCTTCTTATCAACCAAGAATGTTTGCCCAAACCATAATGTAAGTGGTCGAATCGAAAAAATTAATATTTATTTCAAAACTCATGAACGTCTGAAGTGTTCTGATGAATAACGGTCGAATGAAACATATAATCCACGAAATAATTCAACTGGTTACTGCGCTTCCTATTTGCCTATTTTGACGTTTTTCATTATTGAAAGTACTTCGTCAAGAATAAGACAGGACAGGTCTTTTAAATATTAATTTTGTTCCATATTTGTCATTAACTAAGTATGTAAATATAACGTGACAAAACGCTTTCCATAATCTTAGGAAATCTTATCAAACTGCAAAGCCTATTTTACGGTCCGGCTCTATCATAAGCATGTGTTCATGAATTACTATAAGACGATGCCTTACTGGTGCATGTGTATCTACTCTGTTATGTTTGTATTGCTTGATTACGTGCATTTTGAAAATCAACATATTTGAGTATTCTTTACTAATATAGATTAAGTCTAGCAATTTGCCGGAACAGGCGTGTGGATATATAAGGCATGATCTTTGCTAATTATTACATGGACAAACGGCAGGTTTTCTCACCAACGCCCATAACTATCTTGATATGATACGAATAATGAAATGAAGGAAATTGTGGTTAAAAAATATGGTCTTTTCTTTAATGACGAAAAGAAACGGTAAATCCTTCTCAAGTGAAAATGGATTGAATTAATCGCGGCGCCTTGTGGAATTTGTTATCTAATTGGACGAAACTTGAGGAAAAATTGATTTCCATTTCTTTTATGCTTTGGACGGGAAGTAGGGGAAATGGCCCAGGATGAAACGTAGCTTGGAGGAGCTGCAGTCACCGTTTGCAGTATGTTTTACTTATTTAAGTACAGGAAGTTCACATCAAATATCGAGGGAAATTTATGTTGTTTTGTCTGAAGCAATTCTGTAGGCAAACAGCATTTGCATGTATGATATTAATGGCAGTGCTCCCATAACTGTAGCTTCACGATGACGTTAAAACGACGACGTGGGTGTTTTCTGTAAGGGTGAATTGTCCATCTAATCATCGTTGTAAAGAGTATCAAATAATTGATTATTGTGCACTAAGGAGTTATTTAAAGGTGCACTCTGATCCTAGGCCTGGTGCCTGTTTTGAGTACAGACACAGACTCGGATATTGGTTATGTGTAATTTGTCATGCAGTTTAACAATGTTTTTATGTCAAGCCCTCATTCAACCCATAGCCAGCCAAAACCCATGCTATAAAAGCTTCACCAAGGAAATAATGTACAATATTGCAATAACTGCCAAAAATAACTGGCAGCAAAATAAAACTGATATCTTACCAAAAGTCCCAATTGCAATATGTAGAACGTTATTAAATAGGACCGGGAGCCACAAAATCATCTAAATATTTCACTGAAAAAGTATCATATCTCAAGGTTTCAAGAATTGTGTCTTTTGTCATGGCAACAAGAAAACCGCGTCCGTTATATATTGCCTCTGATAAGTATTTATTAGAGAAACTTCGATTTAGTTGATTTGTCTTTGCATTCTGCTAACAAGTCGGGTTCAGTTGTCATGACAACATTCCAGAATGACGTCATGTATGTCGCACAGATGGTTGAGTATACCGAAAGAGTGCAACGGAAAATTACAGAACAGGTATTTACAATGTCGATAAGCATTATGTCTTTTTAGATTTGCTGGTGGTATTGGTATTCGATGCATAGAACATGTTTAACAGATGAATCCTCCAGCTTCCGCCGTCGGTTCTAAATGAAACGCCCCGCATTTGCTTTCAAACTAAATTCAGCGCCTTCAAATTGCATCGTGTGCCTCAGTCTGATTGGTTGAAATATGGGATTCAAAACCCCAACATGTAATGGAATATTTCTTGTGAATGAATCCTTTTTCTTGGTGCATTATTGATTTTCTCTTCGCATATGTGAATGGTAACATTAATACCGTAATGAATATATCTCGAGTCATCATGTCCGTGTTTTAAGCTGACTTCATACACAAGAGCGTGCAATGGTAAAATTATCAATCATTTCGTATTTTCAATGCCGATAAACAAATATATAAACACAAACAGACTTAACGAGGGGTGTCTTTCAGATTTGGTCGATAAAAATAAATGTTGTACTGTGTGCAAAGGTGATACCAATAGTATTAGATGGCACCAATATCCCTTCTATATCCTGTTCCAACTCGCTATTGGTCATTAACAATGATTGTTACTGAATGTCATAAATCAAGAAAGCAAATGTGCAGTTTGTATATTTTGGGGTCGTAATACGGTCAGCAATTTGATAGAGACTGATATCAGCAATAGTCTTTTTTAGTGGATAATAAAGTCAATGACCGTTGCATTTGGCAAGATATCCTTTATGGGGTATGATGCTTACAAAGGAAGGCATCACTAGTTTAGATGCCGCTTTGATCGTGATCATCTCAAAACAGCATCAAAACTGGCATGACATGATCAATGGTGATATCAATAAACATCATTAAAAGAATACATTTCTTAAGACTCCTAAATTGTTCTTGCTGGAGCCTAGACACATTGTACCTCTAGCCGATGTATAGATGACATTTCCGGGCACAAAAACTTCCTCTTCCTCATCAGTTTGTCTGTAATGTTTCTGCATCGATCGGCGTTGATTGTCTGTGTATTGATAAGTATATATAGAAACACATATAACTTAACGACGTATATGTTTCAGATTTGGTCGCTGAAAATAAGTGTTCTTCGGAGTGCAGAGGCGATAGCAAATGTCTCCACTGGCATGACAAATGGGATTGCCTATGTGAAACTACCTATTCGCCTCCTCAAGCCGATGGAAATTGTACACGTCCAGATGGATCAGGTAATGTTCACGCTTTCACATCAATTTTATCCATGAATACATTAAAAATTATCAATTGTGCATTCAATATTTGTTTTACTTGAGTTAAATTACGTGTTTCTTGTTTGTTTCATATAACAAACGTCACAAATCACTTTTCATTCAATTTAGTGGACACCGGACATGTACTTACTGTTCAATCTGTTCGTAAGAAAACACATGATATTATCAGTGTTGTATAACAGTAATCATTTTTGAGTGAGTGAATTTGGGTTGAACGCCGCTTTGAACAATATTTTCAATAACATGCATATAACGGCCTTGACTGTTTAGTGTTGGATGGAAGCTCAAGTAGTTCGTATGCTTTAACTACGTCTGATACTGACATATTTAGATTTAAAACTATTATCAGCGGATCCCGGCACGACTAAGGAGTATAACGCTGCACATCAGCTGTGAGGCCTTAGACCATTAGTCGTCCACTCGTGAATGTCAACGTTTATGGAATTGTGCTTCCAACTGACTTAATGTTTCTTTTCTTGTCACAGAGGCACGTGTAAGTGTGTGATTTAACCTGAGGTTTAAGCGTATAGGGGCGGTAGGGTAATCTAGTTGTTTATGTGTTTGCTCGTCATGCCGAAGGCCCGGGTTCGATTCCCCATAAGTGTGAAGACCATTTCTAGTGTCCCCCGCCGTTACATTGCTGTAGTATTGCTAAAAGCGGTGTAAAACAATACTCTCTCGTGATGGTATAAACTCTCGGCAACTAACGATCATTTTTGCTTTTGGACACTTTTTCATAATTTCTTCAAATTATATAGAACCCAGTGGGATGCATGCATGTCAACCCTTTGCCTTCTGCATGCCTATGTGTGTTATATGTTTAGAAAAGTTGGTGTCTTTTATATAGTCCGTTTTAAGCGGAAACAATGGCAGCGTTGAAGTAACTCAGAACAGATGGTATACGTACGCAGCATATACAAAGATATATACGTACTATTTCGCATTAAAACTGATGAAAAGCAAACAGTGACAACATTTAAGGATCCGTGGGGCAGCCAATTTGTTGACGTTTTCTCTCGTCACAACGAAAACCTGGAATCATTTCCAAACAATGTGAGAAGCCAAGTTCCGGCGTCCCCCGCCAAGATATGAATTGAATATTGCTAAACACACGTATGTACCTATGTTGGACCTATGCTATGGACATGTTATGGACATTGCATTTCAGCAGCAAATCTCTTTAGCGCGATAATAGATGGTATCACAATGACAACGACACTTCTTTCCTGTTCGCGGATGCACACCTGTCTTTCCGGCCATTTGCTACCATGGTTTTTGATGTTTGCGCCACAAGCCAGGCTAGAGACGGATTAGTGTCTTGAATCGTTATGTTTCTTTTAGGACCTGATGCTAAATACAGTGTTTTAAGGATACGAAACCCGACCATTTTATGTGCTGATGCATCCTGAAAAAATAACACGTCCATTTGCATATGATTCTTCCCATAGCTGAACTACATCAATATGATCGGTTAATGCAATATAATTCGGGCAAGGACATTATAAACTTGCGATGACCCAGGGTCATATTTGGTTATCTCTATTAGATGAAACTCGAGAGGTTTTTTTTCTACTTAATGACATTGGTTTAGTTGTTAAAAAGCGACATGAAATATCTTTTTGGAATAATCACATAGCTTCTGGTGGTCTGGGCATTTTCCAAACTAACCCGGCCTTGACAAAGGCGGGATAACTACGTTTTGCATCGTTTCCAGGCTAACGCTTAAATTAAGAGATGAATTTAAAGGTTATTAGTGTATTATGGAAGCATAAAATGGTATTAAAAAGATAATTTTCTTCCAACTCATATCCGTCCTATTGCGCATGTTTCAAATCGTTCACTGGTATTACTAACAGTTAGCTTTTCCTAATCAAGAAAGTAAATTTGCAATATGTAATATGGATCGTAATACGGTAGGCGATTTTAAGGAGGCTGACATCAGAAATAGTCTTGTTTAATTGAAAATAATGTCTCTTGACAGTAAGATATCCTTAAATGACCACCAGTTTAGACACCACTTTGCTCGCATTTATCACACACGCACCGTCTAAACTGGCAATGTCAACGGTGGTATCAATACAAGTCAAACAAATGAAAACTAATTAAAAGAATACATTTTTTTAAGTTCATGTATCAATGATATCAATAAACACAATTGAAAGAAAACATTTAAAGATCACGTATCAATGATATCAATAAACGCAATTAAAAGAATACATTCTTCTTTTAAGTTCATGTGTCAATGATATCTTTAAGTTCATGTATCAATGATATCAATAAACGCAATTTAAAGAATACATTCTTCTTTTAAGTTCATGTGTCAATGATATCTTTAAGTTCATGCATCAATGATATCAATAAACACAATTAAAAGAATACATTTTTCTTAAGTTTACTTAAATTGATCGTACTGGAGCCTCGACACATTGTACTTCCCTCCCATCAGAAGAAGGCTTCGTTGTTTTTTTCCTGGTAAAGAAAGACCCATCAATATATTAATATCCCCGGTTTGTTGTTCATGTGCGTGCATCAATCGACCAACATACAATGTTGTCAGTGTATCGGTGTACATGTATTTCCCTTACTCGCGTTTAGTAGACATAGAACCACCGTTTGGCACGTGTGCCCCACGTATGTCATGCATCTGACATCAAAGAGCGTCACAAGGAGCAGTGGATCCGTGGCTCTGTGGAGCATGGGAGCCCTTGAGTCAAGGAGCTTGGCGACGTGAGGCCTTGGAGCGGTAGAGACGTGGAGCCGATAGCGATATGCACTAAATTGGTCGGATATGCAATAAATTAAAGTATATCTTGGAATTAGTACTGAACGTTATGACCCCATGTGTGAACAAGACTGTGAGACTAAAATGTTTTTCTTTACTCAGTCGATATTTCTCCAAAACCGATTGGGCATTTCAGACAACATCTTTTGTATGTATCACTTTCACAAGTGACGTTAGTTAAATTACGAGCAAGAATAGACTTGATTTGTCAATGATTAAAAAAACAAATATCTCGATAGCCATGGGAAGGATATTGCTCACAACAGTCTTCATTGTATATTCTTATGACGAGCGAGATAACTGCTGCAGACCCGAAACGACAATCGTGTCAACACATTATGAACGTACACAGGACCCGAAGAACACGTAGAACACGCAGAACACGGGTTTTTCTATATATTCTTAATCACATAAAATGTCTAAGGGAAGTAACTGACGAGGGACTGAATGTTGCTTAATAAAATTACAGTATGAGTTCTTTCACTGATTTTTCTCCCAAATTATTGGTGTATGGTCCGCCGAGTTCCCATTAAGAGTCTGGGAAAGCAATAGATGTAATTTATTACTTTACAGTCCTACGCGGGTCTCGTTCGGTAGAATCGTGTCCTGTTAATCGCAGTATCCCTCACACGATTTTACAATCCCTCGTCGATACCCACTTATTGTTCAAATGGACATTTGTCGTTACAGCTCTGTGTATTGCTTTCAACTATAATCTTCTGACTTTTACTGTTGTGCTGTAGACATTGAACGGGAATTCATGTCCTCCTTGACGAAGTTCATTTTCCCTATCTTTGATGTGTCTGCTCGCTGATGTATATCCACTTGTTGATGTGCCTAGTCTTTGATGTGTCTACTCATTGGTGTGTCTACTTGTTGATGTGTCTACTCGTTGATGTGTCTACTTGCTGATGTGTCTACTCGTTGATGTGTCTACTCGTTAATGTGTCTACTTGTTGATGTGTCTACTTGTTGTTGTGTCTTCTCGTTGATGTGTCTACATGTTGATGTGTCTTCTCGTTGATGTGTCTACTTGTTGATGTGTCTACTTGTTGATGTGTCTACTCGTTGATGTGTCTGTTAATGTGTCTACTCGTTGATGTGTCTACTCGTTGATGTGTCTACTCGTTAATGTGTCTACTCGTTGATGTGTCTACTTGTTGATGTGTCTACTCGTTGATGTGTCTACTCGTTAATGTGTCTACTTGTTGATGTGTCTACTTGTTGATTTGTCTACTTGTTGATGTGTCTACTCGTTGATGTGTCTACTTGTTGATGTGTCTTCTCGTTGATGTGTCTACTTGTTGATGTGTCTACTCGTTGATGTGTCGACTCGTTGACGTGTTTTCTCGTTGATGTGTCTACTTGTTGATGTGTCTACTTGTTGATGTGTCGACTCGTTGACGGGTTTTCTCGTTGATGTGTCTTCTCGTTGATGTGTCTTCTCGTTGATGTGTCTACTTGTTGATGTGTCTTCTCGGTGATGTGTCTACTCGTTGATGTGTCTCCTTGTTGATGTGTCTTCTTGTTGATGTGTCTTCCCGTTGATGTGTCTACTCTTTGATGTATCTACCTGTTGATGTGTCTACTCGTTGATGTGTCTCCTTGTTGATGTGTCTTCTTGTTGATGTGTCTTCCCGTTGATGTGTCTACTCTTTGATGTATCTACCTGTTGATGTGTCTACTCTTTGATGTGTCTACTCTTTGATGTGTCTACTCGTTGATGTGTCTCCTTGTTGATGTGTCTCCTTGTTGATGTGTCTTCCCGTTGATGTGTCTACTCTTTGATGTATCTACCTGTTGATGTGTCTACTCTTTGATGTATCTACCTGTTGATGTGTCTACTCGTTGGTGTGTTTACTTATTGATGTATCTGTTCGTTGATTTTTCTTCTCGTTGCTGTGTCAACTTATTGATATGCCTACTTGTTGGTGTGTCTACTTGTTGATGTATCTTCACGTTGATGTGTCTACTTGTTGATGTGTCTACTCGTTGATGTGTCTACTCGTTAATGTGTCTACTTGTTGATGTGTCTACTCGTTGATGTGTCTACTTGTTGATGTGTCTTCTCGTTGATGTGTCTTCTTGTTGATGTGTCTACTCGTTGACGTGTTTTCTCGTTGATGTGTCTACTTGTTGATGTGTCTACTTGTTGATGTGTCTAATCGTTGATGTG